CGGGGATCACAGCTTGGAGCACAGGGAAGGTGTGCGGAGGCTGCTTGACGCCCCGGCTGTCAGGGCCTCGTAGGCACCGCCGTGTCATTGCCCAAACTGGCTTCAATGAGAACCCCCTTACCCTTGGGGCCCAGAAACCCCATTTCAGCTCAGGTCAGGCCCCTCCGTCCTGCCCTAAGCTACACCGTGGCTGGGCCTGTGCCGAGGCCGTCCCCTGCGAAGCCTGGCTTGTTGACTGTTTTTCCAGGATGGACCATGCTTTGCCTTCCCTGACGATCACTGGGCTGTCGCTGGACCAGCCCCAGCTCTGCCTGCTGCGTTCAGAGCCTGTGGGTGAGGGCACTGCTTGTGCTGGGGTCCCCCACCGCCCCAGCCTGGACCCTTGCAGGGAGCAGTCCTGGTCCCGATGCCTCCTGACATTCACATTGTGACTCCATTTTTCCACAGTGGATCTACAGCTGTTTCAATCTGGCCTATTAAGAAAACATTTAGATCAGCAAAAGAATTCTTCAAGCTTAGCAAATACTTGTTTTCAGATACTTATCTAAAGCACGTGTGCACTGAAGAACTTCTCCTGAGAGGTTTCTCTTTCTGCCTGGTCAATATGCATCCCCCGTGGCACAGCTAGAGCTTATGTAAGGGCTGCATACAAGTCAAAACCCCTTTAGTTCTCAAATGGTGCTATTCATTAAATCAAGTCTTAACAATATTCCCATCACAGCACAATAGAGCCAAGAGCTGTTTGAGGTTACATGACTACATGTCCCTTTCATGGTGAGAAGCTTTCCTTTTTAATGTCTTTAGCAGCACTTGTTATTGAAAAGACACCTGATTTCTTTCCCTCTGAACATCAGCAAACGAAAAAACATCCTGCTGTTGGGTAACTGAGAATGTTGTAGAGCAGTGCCCACAGAAGCGCTTTGACTAGGGGAAGGGATCCACCTGCTCGGAGCAGATGACATAGTCCCTTCCAGAGGTGCTAGAAATGCATATATCACAACACAACCCCCAACACTTGGGCAGAAGAACGGCACTGATGTGCCAATACTCTGACAGAGAGTAGTGGCATTTGAAGTGACATGGTGGATACATGTGCAGATCAGTGATGTGAAAGGGGTGGTGGGGCCCATGGGGAGAGGTTGCTGTGCCGCAGGGGAGGTCTTTGGACAGGCTGGATGGGCCTGTGGTCAGATGTTCCTCTCCTGCATCGCAGGCACCATCATCTCAGGCCCCTGTGTTTGGACCTTGCAGAAGTTAATTGACTACTGGCTCCCAGTTCAGGAAAAAGGCAGTAAGTGAATAAAGAGTTTGGGGTAGGTTTTTTTTTTAATTATTAAAATATTTATGTGTGCATTTATATAATTTTTTAAAAATGTTTTGTATGGAGGCAATGCATTGAATACTCCAAAGATGAAAAACTTGTCCATAGATCAAATGTCTCATGGCTAAAACCACCTTTCTGATGACAAACCTAAGTTGACAATTCTGTTAATAGGATTAGGTTCATTAAGGGACTGCTTTCTCTTATAAATCTGGCCCAGACAGCATGGAGCTTTAGATTTTGCACTGCAAAGGGGGCCCTGCTTAGTCCTGAATTTCATGCTTTCATTTACAATGTGTGCTAGTGATTGATACTGGTAATATTCAGGGTTTCTATCCCATACTAGGCTACCTGAAATGACTTTCATTTTTCAAAATAATTAATGCATTATCACAGGTCTGAGAGCATTTTGCTGCCATACAGGTGTACCATAGAGCTGATTTTTTTTCAGGGACACACGGCATGCACGTAATAATTTCATTTTCTTCCTGAATATAACATATGTTTTCATAAGGGCTGATGATAATAAAGCGGACCTTCAACCAAGAAATGCTATATATGTAGACAGAAATGCAGAAGAGCATGTCCTGCAAAATTTACTTGCAACTGCCACAACTCAGCAAAGCTAAGTATATGCTTAATATCTTCTCTGTTGTCATAACCTTGGAGGCAAGCCTTCTACTGTTATTACTGAAATTTGGCCCCAAAGACCACTTAGCGTATACCAAAGTCAAGATCCTGCCGGAGACGGGGCAGATCACCATTGTATGCTCTTGGGCGCTGTGAACCGGCAGTGCGCTCATCGGAGGTCAGCCAAGGGTGACTGTGGAGACCTGAACACCATCTCAAAACTGAAAAAATCACTACGGTTGGGAGACTTTCAAAATCACAGAGAAACACCCAGCTCCACTGACTTTTAGGTGAGAGCTGGGCACATAAGTGTCCTGAAGCCTTTGAAACTAGCCCTTCTTGGGATGTAAAGCTGAGGCCTCGCAGAGTGTGGTGAGGTCGTGGGGAAATGCTGTTCAGTAGCTGGCTCAGCATATGCCTCCAAAAGGAAACCAAAGCCTCATGATATTTTACTACTCAGCTGCTAATTAAAATGCTGGTGTTTAGAGATTTAGGCCTTCAATCCAATCAACCACTTAAAATCTTGTACTTCATTTTTTTTTTGCATAATTAATCTTTCTGTAATTAAAGTTACCCTCAGGATACGTTTTCCTCTTTCCTGTCGCAATGCTGAGCACTCACAGCCCAGAACAAATGGTGTATTGCAACTGATTAATACAGAAGAGCATAGTGGATAAGCTGCCCTTGCTCCTTCTACCCCCATATATGACACTGGTCATGCATAAAGCTAACATATATCTGTGTTTCTCCAGGCATATCCCTTTCTCTTCCAGATGGATATTCGGCCTGGAGGGAATCTGAAGATGTGGTGCATTTCTCCAGTCTTTTTGATGCCAGGCTATAGATGTGAGTGAGTGCCAAAATTTCCCTAACATATCTACGGCAGGAACAAGTATCAACCTTACGCACAGAGAGCGGCTCCTGTGCTTACACCAGGTCCTGTGGCGGCACGGGCCCTGTGCTGTGCGCAGGCAACACGCACAGTCCGTCTGTTTCACCAGGGACAGAGCAGAAAGAGCTCAGCACCTTTGATTCATCCCCGATGAGCGCGATGGATTGCAGATGCTCTGTGCAGCTTGTAGGAGATACGCAGGTTTGATAACGCCTGGAAACATTAGACTACACAGCACAGACACGCGTGTTTCTATAGAGGGACCTGCAGCCATAATAGCAACAGCCCTAGGAGTGAAAGAGAGATCAAAGTTCAAGTACAAGTAAGTGTATGACCTTGATAACCATCTGCGACAGACTCATGGGCTAATAATACTTCCATTTAAAGGGGTTATTTGAATGAGAAGCTATAGCTGTAGCAATAAGCCTTCATTTTTGAAGATGACAAACTGTGGCTTCAGATAATTTTAAAAGTCAAACGCCCTTACAGAGAGTTTGTTGATCTGAAATGAGTTGTTCTATAGAACTGCACACACTTCAAATTTGCTTACAAAAGCTTTGTTCAACACTGACACATTTGAAGGGCAGGTAGATGTAGCTTAATTGAGGTTTCTCCGCATCATTTTTCCCCTTGCTTCCTCCCTACCAGTACCTGTCCCAAAACACTCTGCCATACTTTTTGAAGACAGCACTTCTGTTTCTTGGAAAGCCGGTTAGCAAGGTTTTGGTTGCAAAAAACATGTTTTCAAAGTTAGAGAAAAATACATTTTTCATCCCTGATTTTGAATGAGGCCTCCCAGACTGGTTAAATACAGATGGTATAATTTTATCTAAGTCACAAGGTTGATTCACTTTTCAGCCAAATCATAATTTGCCTTTAGGGTTCAAGCAAATGATCGTTTTAAGAGTGGTGCAATTTTATGAACATGGCACTAGAGGGCCTTTGACGGCTCAGGGTTAGAAACAGCATCAAACTAACACTGTAGAAAAAAACCCCATGATTTACCATTTGTGTTTACATTATATAATCACTTTCTGAGCCTAGGTGACTGTTAATTTTTAATTGCTTGACTGCTGGGTCCTCTCCTTCTGGCATTTCTGATGTTCCAGTGGGAAATTCTTTAAACAGTTCAGCAGACATGGTTGCAAATGTTTTCGTGTTTAGTTGTGCTTGCCACAGAAAATGCATAAATATTCAGTTCTATTGCTTGCAGGTTCTAAGGTTTTAAAATTCCTCAGTCACATTCACCTTTTCTCCCAAGTCATGCAGGTAATGGAATCTAAGGGGCTAGCTGGCTCAGACCAAAACTCTGTTAGGGACTGTCAAGTAGTTTAACGATAGGGGTGACGGCACAGCTTTCTTCATTACAGAAACATCACCATCTTGTGAGAGGAAATCATCTCCAGAATATTCAAGTTTCAAAACTTTTTTTACCTTTTATTTTTTTAATAGGCAAGATCTGTGGATGTTTAGTATAGGCTTAGTGCTAAAGCCTGTACTTTGATAAAGAAGAGTTCTGCAGTTAAATCCCTGAAAACATGGAAGACAATCAGAAAATAAACAAGGGAGCAAGTCTTCCCTCTAAATTTGGAAAACACTTTAAATACAGTAGAGAACTGTCCTTCCTTGTATCCATGTGTTTTTATGTCAGGAAACTACTATCAACCTAAATGCCAGCTATGCTGTCATGATCCAGAAGCTATTGCAGCTGCTGCCTGCTTTTAACAAAGCTCCAGGTTTCTCCATTGCTTGAAGCTTCTGTTGTCTGTATTTTGGTTTTCCTGCCAATATTTGACAAACAGTATCAGGATCACTAAAGAAAAAAGAATGGGCAGTTTGCTTGCACTTCTTGGAAGATGGTAGTAAAAATAAGCCTTCAGAAGTTTAGCAGAACTGAAACATACAGCTTGTAGAAGAGTTTTCAGCGACTTTTGCTTATAGCTTTGTTTTTTAAACTGTTGCATGTTGCTAAGAACACATACTAACTGAGAGACACCATCAGACCAGATACCCAACTTTCCTAGTCATCTGTTTCAGATCTGACAGTATGGAGAGGGATTACAAGAATCTTTCCATTAGATTTATCTACTGAGCAGAGAGGAAAAAAAAAAAAAAAGGGTCTAAAAGAAGCAGTCACTGGGGAAAACCATGGCTCTGGCCCCCTCCATTTCTGTACTGAGCTGCAGTGGGGTTCCTACTAAGGAAGGCAATTTGCCATTTTCAGAACTCTGCGTTGGTAGTCAGTTTGTTTTAAAATTGGCCACTGAACTAGATGAGATCACAAACTACAGGCTTACCTTGGGGAGTCTGTACTTTTCTCTCAGGTGAACCCTCAGACAAGCTCGCTCTGCTTTTTTCTGTGCAAACGCTGCATCTCTTTCCATCCTGGGAATCAGAAAAAAATGTTTCTTCACGATACTAATAAAGTACGGTCTTTTACACTGAACCAGTTGCTTGGCTGCAAAAAGCTACACGCAGGAGTTATTCCCAAAGTAATGTAACTTGTCCAAAGGCACAAAAGGAGCAATATCAATAAAGTGATGCTAAGGGGCCAGACTTCCTGCACCCCAAGCTTGTTCTCAGAACAGTTCCCTTGAGTCCCATGAAGCATGAAGGATAAGCCAATACTACTTGTCTGGAGTTTGTACCTCTAACTTGCTGTTATTGCTCACTATAGCAATTAACAATTCCAATGAGCAGAACAGAAAAGTTACACTTGTTCCTTGCTTATTCCACTGGGGCACTTACAGAGACCTGGCTGCCCGCCAGCGCTCCTGTTCTGCACACACGGCATTCTCACAGTGTAACCACGCACACACACAATGGCAGAATGATCTTTCTGGGTCAGACAACAAAAGTTCACCTATCCTAGAGCCCCATCTCCAACAGCAGACACTAGTGGACACTTAGAGAAAGAATTTAAGAAAAGGATAAGCATCTTGTATGAAAACTGCCCAGCTTCCCAAAATCAGTGGTGTCCCTACAGCACTGATTTCTGGTCCTGGAGCCGGAAATTGGCTCTACATCACTGTCTTTAATAGCCCTGGGTGGCCTCTGTCATCTATGAATTTTCCTGGTCTTTTCTGCATCCATCTATTGTTTCAGAACATCCTACAGCAATGAATTCCACAGCTTCCCTGTGTGGAAATGTATTTATCTGTGATTTTATAAAATGCTTTCATTAGATTTAAGAACCGATCAGCACAGTTTTTGTTTAGATTACTTGTGTATTTATTTGCAAAATATGTCTTCTCAAATATTTTTACTAATATTTAATAATATTCACCTTCTCCCCTATCCCTTTAATCTTTTTTCCCAGAAGCACTGTCACGGAAATTCTCAGGCAAAATTGGTTTTGCTCCAGTATAGGTATTTTGTCACATAAAAGCTACTTGCAGGATGAAATGGTATTTTTCCTCTGCTTCCACAAATGAATTTTTAGGTCTCTCTCTCTCCCCCCCCCCAAAAAGGTTCACATTAACTGGAAGCCATCGTAAACTTCTTTCAGCCTGTCATTGATGGGAAGATTGGAAAGAGATTTTTTTTTGGAGGCCTTCTGGCATATTTTTCCTCTCTTTCTCACCCTTCCCTTCTGTTACCCACTCCTCCAGAGGAGCCATTAGCAGCCATAGCCGGTACTGGGACACGTTCCCGCAGGGCAGCGTGCGCAGCATTACCGCACATCCCTTCAGGTGTCCTATGAGGCTGATTTTCTGCGCAGGTAGATTTGAGCCTTTCACTTGTCCTGGCATCATGGGAAAACTCACTCAGCCAATCTCCCACCATCGCCTGGGCCCTATTGTCTGGCCTAATCTTACACCTTTTTGTTTTGGAGGATCTAACCATTCCCTGGAACATGAAGCTTTGTAGGAACAGGAAACAGGTATAAAAGTAGTCGCGTGACAGTCAAGAGCCTGTGATGTACAGCACAAACTGCTGGTCCCCTCTTGCTTAAACTCTTGTGATGCTGGAAGCAAATTCCATGCAACCATACTGGCAACTGCCAGCGCAAGCTACCTGTTCCTGCGAATTACACATTTTCCTGAGAAACAGCAATCTGCATTTGGTGTTTAATCACCAAAAAAAAAAAACCAAAAAACCACCACCACAAAACAACACAAAACCCACAAAACCCAAAACACACCAAACCCCAAACCTGAGAAGAACCCAAAGCCAGGATGGTCCTGCATCAAAGACAAAACTCTATCTGAGTACGACTGCAGCAAGGCACTTCTACTTCTCTGATCTCCGCTCTTGCATGGCTGAAAACTGGGTAAAATCCAGAGAGCCCTGAAACAGATGCTCTGCTTGTTACAACGATTTCTGACACACATTTACATAACGACACCAGTGTGCACTGTCCTGAGCTAATTTTTTCTCTTTGAAAATACTTCAAATGTTCCTATTATAGTTCCAAACTGTACTTTCTGAAGTACTCCTGCACCAATTCTTCAATACAGTTCAGCATGTAACGGACACATGCCACACCTGAAAACATTATAGAAATAATTCCTTTTCCAAGCATTTGCCCTATCCCAGGAATCCCGTTTTGCTTTTCAGTCTCAATAAAGCATCTTCCTGCCAGCAGGTGGTTATTTCTCTTTTAAATATCCCTTAACAAAATGCAGAGCAAAACATTCTGTATTTTATTCCAAACCAAATTGTACCTATTTGAGGTTTTATGATAGAAATGGCTGCTGCTAAATACAGACCTGGATACCTCAAATTCCGTCAGTCATTAACCTTTCACCTATAATCATCTTACATGAGGGATTTACATAACCATTACGTAATTGACCATTAGAGGAACAGATGCATTTGAGATTTAAAAGTAAATTGTTTTATTTATAATTATGCATTATTTGAACTCCTACATGTTAAGTCCTTTATTTTACTTCTGTTTTGATATTTAAACATAACCAGTGGTAAAGATTATAATTACAGATAAAATAAAATTGAGATTTAATCAGTTGAAAATTATTTAGTAGATATAGTAGAACTGTTTAGTAGATTTTAGAAAAAATAACTGAAACTGCAACTACAAAAAATAACCATCTTAAAACTTTTCTCTGAATAACTATCACCCATTTAATATAGCACTCATTACTTTTTCATGTCTGCCATAATAAATATGGACAAAGAAAAGATTATGTATTGAAAGCATACTCCACACGGAGTTCTAAGAGAATAAATCATGCACATTTTGGAATTAACTCCTGCACTACAAACAGCTTTGTACCTATCGAAAAATTTGATGGATAAAGTAACATTGACTAGGAATGAATGCAGCACATCAAGGTGTGGAAGTAGCAGGAAAGTGTAGGAGAGAGCTGCAGGATGGGGGGGGGGGGGGGGGGGGGGGGGGAGGGAGAACATAATATTTTATCATTTCAGTTGGTGAACTTTCATTTTGGAAAGTCTCTTTAGCAAAGATTCTTCTGCTTTAAAAAAAAGGGAAGAGAGCTGAATGTTTGGCTTTTTCTTGGGGTATTTTTATCTGCACAAAGTTACCAAGAATCAGCCCCACACTGATAATAAGGGAACAGGTACTCACTTCTCTTCAACGACTTGCTTTTGATATTCCTCATACTCCTCTCTGGTCATTCCTGCAGCTGCTGCTGGATCAGAAGGAGTGCTTTCTTCTTTGCTTTCTTCCCCTCCACCTCCAAGTCCCAAATTCTTTACCTGGTTGCTCAACATACTTTTCATTAGAAAGGCCATCTTCTCAAGAAAAGAGGAGCTATAAGCAAACTACAAGAAAGCCAAACCAAACCAAAACTGTTTTCAAAACCAACAATTGTAAGCAAGAGAGTTTCTACAGCCACATCAGCTCTTCAAGGGCACAATGCTAGTGAAACGTGAATGCCAAAACCAGTTTGTCAGCCATAATCTGGATTAAAGAGTGAACTCCTTAATATCTAGAGGCAGATGGTTCAGATTACTCCAAAAAAATCGTTAGATGCAGCTACCTATTTTTTATATTAATACTTTAAGCTAATTGTAGACACACACATGCACACAAATTATAAATTATAGTGTGCAATATCATTTTGTCGTCTTCAGTCTTGAAACTCTCACTTCCACAGAGATGAAAACATTTCCTGGAGCTCAACAGATCTGAATTAAAAATCTGGTTTACTAAATAGCCATAGTAAAATTGTAAAGTTCAGGCTACCGAGCAGAAAACCCTTTTGGATTTACACAATCAAATGAGATTTGAAAACTGGAATTCTTCATTAAGCAAAAAAACCAATCCTTTTTATCCATTAGTATCTTTATCATGTTGGTCAGAAAGTAACATGAAATGAATGATTTTTCTTCATCCACTTTTCATGTGGTTGGTGTGTCTCACAGATGAATGGGGCATTACTGCTATCGTTACCTTTTTTTCAAGAAAGTAATCACAAAAAAAGCAAATCCCATCTTCCTACTTTTCATTCCTTAGGGCTTATTTCACCTCTTCCCCAGGCTGTCTCCATCTAGATCACCACTTTCACTGGTGCTGCATAGAACACCTAGAGTTTTTAATCTTAACTGTCAGTAAAGGAGAAGTTAATCTGACCGATTCTATATGCTGTAATACAGCCTTGATAACTTTTGTTTGTGGATTGCTTGTGTCGTTCCTCATCTTTCAAACTTGTATTCACATCATTAGCCTCACCAGGTCTATTCAGGTGAAGATTTGCAGGATCTGCTACCTAGATAATAGACTATTTTGGGAAAGAAAATCATCCGCTAGGTCACAAAAGTTCATGATTTTGGGTTTTGAGCATTTATCCTACTATTACTGACTATGCATGCCTTAATCAAAATTACAGAATGCTTCATTATCTAAATGGTTCCCCCAGTACTCTCATAATTTCACTGAGAGATGGGAGGATTCCAGTTTGCCTAATGCCTTAATCTGTGTTAGAGCCCTTCTAATTAAAGCAGACCTGCTACTATTAAAAAAAAAAAAAGCAGAACATTCTGTAATCCTGGATTGCTAGTGATTAAACAAGAAACTTTAAATTTCTTTTTGAAATAAGAGTATCACTCAAAAGCAAGAATTACAAATCACAACAAAACTACTTTGATATACTACGAATACCTAGAAAGCATTTTTCTTAAATCAAAATCGATTTTTATAATCACCGTGCACTTTCAGAACTATGCATAAATTGCAAGAATTGTGGGAAGAATCAACTTTTTACATCTGACCAGCTCTGGCCTTGATTACCAAAACTGTACTGTACTTGCCCAAATGGCTAATAGAACTGAGATCATAGGTGTTAGATGGCTAATCCCAATGTAAGCAGAGAATGCTAGACTTGAGCATGCATTAGTCTGAAGTTGAATGCATAAAATTAAATAAAACTTGTTATCCGGCAAAATTTAAAAACTAAAAATGCAGCATTATGTTTATACATGAGGCATTGGTGCTCCTACCTCAGAGAGTTACTTCAAAACAGGCCTGGCAAAGCCGGTCTGACTTTGTTACGCCCAAAGACTTCCCTGGCCCAGTTTACTGCCTCTCTGAGGCACTGGAAGGGCAGCATGGCTGGTGGGGTCCCGTATTCCCACCCTCCTGCATTTTAGAGAAGGCTGCGTTTGTTCAAAAGGGCTGACAACCAGCTAGTGCCGCGGGCCAGCTGTAGCTGTGCCATGCGCCGGTGCCAGCGGGACGCGGCACGGCCTGCGCCATCGCCCCGTCATTGTGTAAGCGTACCATCTGGCAAGCGCTGTCTGACTGCTCAGTGGTACTTTTATATCATTTTCCCAGCCTGGAGACAATACGGACAAGCAGAGATGGTTCTAACCTGCAACCCTTTCGCCTTCTGCTAAAACCAAGACCTCACTTTGCTGGTATTTGAAAAGTCCTGCAAACTGGCCTGATCTAGCACCTCTTCCAGAAGGAGGGCAGCCTTTGGATGAGCACTCTGACTGCTGAGCACTAATGGCAACCCCATCACCCAGAACAAGACCACAAGAGCCCCTCTCTGTTACGCAGCCAACTTTAAAAGGAAGAAATGAAAATAAAGGGTTATTCCTAGAAAATTGAGTTAAATACTGCTCCAAGAGCAAGCCCCTGAAAAAAAAAAAAAAAATCCCTAGTTCCTGAAATACAGCCTTACTCACCTAAGTGACTTGCCCCACACTGCTCAGAACACAGTGGATCTCAAGAGAGGGAGACGGAAGATCCTAAGTGAGGGGAGAAAGTGCTTGGTCAGTTCAGGCATCTCTAGAAATAGATGGCGGCTACAGAAAGCAGGCATCGCAACTCTGGATAAAAGTTTTGGTCTTGCTGACATTTGCATCCACTGCTTACAACCCAAAGCTAACCACAGAAACTGGCAACATGGACATCAGAAGCTGGAAGATCATCTTCTCAATCTGCTTCAGCTCCACAGCCAAGCTGTCTCTTACACAAGTACGCAGCACTTTAAAAGGGGCCAAGAAATACTGCATGAACTACGTACGGATCACGATGAGGTCTTCAGCAGCTTGCAAAAACCATTGAACAGGTTAAAGTAACGTATTGGCACTGTTTACGCACTGATCCCGAAATGCACAAGCTCAGTAACAGTATGGTAGGCATCACAGAAAAGCATGCTACAAGAGAAGCTGAAGATCAGATACAAGTTTTGACTGTTAGCATTTTCTCTGTGCTTTCACAGCCACCTGATTAAATGTTAGAATGCTGTCCCACAACATCCCTATTTAGTGCCAAATGCCTCTCGAGTCCACTTGCAGTGGTTGGCTCATCTTTATTTAAAATTCCTCTAACAGGAACAGGGAGCATCAGTGTGTCTGTACTGTGCACTTCGCAAATGCAACATGCAGCGCTGATTTTTCCAGCATTAGGTCTCATGGTTTTCTCCGAGTGTATGGGAAGTACATCTGTTAAACTTTGTGCCATCGGTCTTTACTGAAGAGAAGCTTCCCTAACGTTGGGCACGGGTCTTGGCTGTAGACCTTGATCCCTACAGAAATGTTGCTAACACCACCTTCTGCCTAAAAATGCTTTCACAGAATCGGCTGAGAAGGCAAGAAAGCTGAAAACTGGCTTGGGAAGGGTTTGCCAAGAACCTGAGAGATCTTGCCTTCCGGGTCTTGAGAGAGCTCTCATGAACCTTCCTAATAGCAAAAGGCTTTCCAACGTTAGATTCAGAATTGAAGACAACAGGAAGTATTTTAAAAGTTACTGCCCCTATTGGCACTGGAAACTGCCGAGAAACACAAGAGACCAGTGACAAAACTTTGGAAGACCCTACATAGCTAGCTAGTGAATTGCTCACTTCATTGCGCATTTAGGTATTTATCACAAATCTATGTATACAAATAACGAATAAACACTCAGACTGATAATGAACCAATTGCTTACAGAGTACCTAAACATCAAGTTTTAAGCACTTACCTTTGGTGTCAAGAAGGAGCAGTACCACCAGAATAATTCCTGTTCCAGACAGGTGCTTTAACTACTGCCTATATTGAAGTTACAAACCACTTACTGCTTTTTGTTGATTATAGGGATCACAGGCTTAATAAAAACATAGGGGCAGCTGCTAATTAAGTACTCAAGTTGCCACTTCCTTTGCTTTAAATCAACATCCTTTCCCTCTAGCTTAAGTAGAATCAAAGGCTGTTTGTTTTATCTGATGGAAGTGGGCAATATGAAAAAAAGCCTGTGTTCCATACCCACAGAACACAGGCATCTCCAACCCCAGAACAGAATTCAGTCTTGAAACAGGCAAATCACAAAGCAAAATCTAAAAGCTTGAGAGGCCAGCACAAAAATGCTATAGCCAAGCAAGCATCCAAACTCCCAACCTTTTCTAGAGACTATGTTCCCAAAACAGAGTCACAGCAGACAACTCCAACCACACAATTCGGAAGTATCTAAGTGTTCTTTGAAAGGACCAAGACTCTCCACCCCCGCTTCATCCCTCTAGAAAAGGATGTTGCCTTTTATATAAGTTGGAACATTAGATCACTCGTACAGAAAGAGAGATAAAGTATTTTAGGGCTTTCTCAGCTTGAATAGATTTAATTGAAAATTCTTCTCCTCCACCTATTAGAGAAATTGCTCCTGGCTGGGGGAAAATGATGGTCAGTGAGGGAATTCTTACTCTTCCTGTGGGAGGTTACCACAGACACAGTTTACTCAACAGAACAGTAAAAACAAACTAACAACCCCCCCCCCAAAACCCCAAAGAGATAGAGACTAACTTGGTTTGGGTAGGCATGTTGTATTCCAACAAACAGGAGCAGAGCACCTGGGTGACAGCAGTTTAGGGAATCTGGAGAAACAACTTCAGAGACACAGGCAATCTTCAGCTCAGAAAAACGAGCTATTTCGTATACTCAAAGCAGCCAGCAAGCAACTCTTATTTGCTGTTACGAGACTTAGAAGTTGACATACCGCTTTACATTTGACCCTAAGTGTCTGATACTCAAGGCAAGTCTGATACTCTTAATGCAAGCTTTTGAGCGAATCTCTTACTTTTAGGTTAGAGTCACTCTTGCATTAGACTGCAACATGGAGGATGTAATCCCTTCACACAGAATGAACTGAGGCTGGATTCAGCACGTCCTTCTAACCAATGGCAGTCATCTGTCTCTTCAATACAGGTGGAACCTCAGCCTCTGAAACGCTGTTAACTCTCCAGTATCAGGTAGGACTGAACCCAGATCTCAAAGTGTTCAAACTCCCTGAACAGAGGGTAAAGAATGCTTCAAATACACTTGCTTGGATTTCATTGACATGTACCAAATTAAAAGAAAAAAGCTTACTAAAAATATGCATCTTTATTCAAATAAGGTTATCTCTGAACTCCAAGTGTCAATTCACATTAGTCAGAAACAAACATATGAAAGTGTCACCTGTTTGAATTAGGAAAAAAAAAAACCAGTAGACAGTCTTCGGTGTTACAGTAATTGATGCATTGATAAATGTCAAATTTTCTTCAAACAGGAAATTAGGTCATTTACAAACCTTATTGTGAATTTTACTTTTAAAAGATTCAGATGTGACCATGTACTTAATATACCCCGACCAGTACAATGAGATTCTCTTGTCACTGCCAAATATTTGCTACTTATCATCCACACTTCAAATACAATTATTAGACTTGTTCTCCCCCAGTATTGTCAAACTGGATCCCAAGGTGTCTTCTCCTAGTCCTGATCTTACTTGATAAGCATCAAACATGCTATCAGTGTTGAAAGAAACTTCTAGTAGCCAGCCATAACAGGAGGCTACACTGACTGACAAATACTCTTACAGTCCAGATTTGTTGCTATCCCTTCAAGGACAGGACAGGACGAGATTTGAGCTGGGCAACTGGGAGCTTTCCTTTGATCCAGTGAGTGACGAGGCAATTACCGAAGTTCCGAGAAGAGACGACTGTGAAATGAAGCATGAAGCAGTGTTATCACTTTTTGGATGTTATGCTTTAGACCTTCTGCTCCCTAATACAAAAGCTTCCTAGCTGCACATGGGAGATATGTCAGTTCTATTAGCAGCATAAACACACAAGCTGAGCCTCGTACTTCAGTACAGATGCAATTCCTCTAGACACCATCCCCAGCCTTCTCTTCTTTCTAACAAAAGACACAAAAGTATGGGCTGCTCCAGCTTTAAAACAAAGTTATGGTTGGATAAATTCACAGTAACAAAAAATACAGCCTTCCTCCAAGTGATACATTAGAGCTGTTCCTCATTATGCCAGATACATGCACCTACTTAGCAAAATACAATTGCTAGCCTTTCTGTATAAGGGGTCTTGCAAAGCCTGCTGTAAGAGAGGGAGCTCTGTTTAGGTGTTGCACTGACGCAGGAAGGCTTGCAATTGAAAGGAACAACTGTAGATTTTCAGAACAATTTAAGAAAAAATATTAAGTTTAGTTAGAAGAGTCAGGGTTGTAATAGCTTAGACTCAAGGCACCTGTAAATATTTGCTGGTGTTGAAAGAACTGAATGGATAAATTCCTATGTGTTATTCTGGCTTATCTGAAAAGTTTTTTTCATTGGTTTAGCCTATTTATCCAGCAAGATTAGCTTGAGGCAGTAGTTTCTCCAATCAGTACAGCAAAATCTTCTGAAATTTAGAAATTAATCTATAAAGCTATACCACTTACAGCATACTACATACTGTAGCCATGTAAATAGATGTGTAGGTAGTATCATTTTATTGGTGTAGCACAGACATCCACTTTTTGGACACTGTATTTTAAGTAACAAAATATATTGCATAGATTTGTCATTTCTCCAAACTGACAGGCACAAGACTGAAGTGTTCTTCATTACAGCAAATTTGGCAGCATGTGTTGCACTCCAAAGGAGTGGATTGTAGGAATGCAGTAGTAGTATGCTAGATTCCAGATAATTTTTGCAGATTCAGACAAACAGACTGAAAGTGAAATATCCTAATGCATTTGTGTCTTCTATAGAATTTAAAAAAAAAAACCCAAACCAAAAACCCCTATTCTAATTCTACACACAAAGAACTCAAGGACAAAGTTACCACAGGTATGTAAACATGGCAAAATGAGTTCATTTCATTCCTAATCTGGGCTATCTGCTTTGTTTCTTTCCTGAGGCAAATGTTCACCTGATAAGCAGTATCAAAAACACATGTTCAATCTTACGCTTTTGATATTAAAGCAGGAATTGACAATCAAAACTGGTTCCACAATAGCTGCTGGATTAACAAACATGACTGAAGCAACAGCTTGTGAAGAAAAGGGTTAACACTCAATATCTGTAGTTTGGAATACTTGCCATGTCAAGATTTAAATCAAAGCATCTGTATTTGATACATGAAAGACACAGACAGCTTTATAAAAGTAAAGACATATTCATACACTAAACACATCCTTAATAAGATTTGAAGAGGTACAAAGCAATGATATCTTTGCTGAAAAAGTTCCACAAATCTCCAAACAAAATTACAGACAGACTTGAAGAAACTACTTGGTCATGTTTTCTCTCACTGCCCAAACCCAAAAATAAGGAGATAAGCCATTATTTGCTTGTTCTGTATAGCTTGTTTTCTGTATCAGGTGTCAACAGTCAGACTGTTAAAGGCCTGTCTTTGTGTCCACATATTAAGAAGTGCTTAAATCCATATTTCATGAAGAGTTAGAAGTAACTAAATAATTCTTAAACTGTTAAATCCAAGTGGTAAAGAAATGAAATGTTTATAACAAATTTTTACCCCCCCAAAAAACCAGAGAAGAGCAGTCATTTGGGTTTTGTTTGGTTGGTTGTTTGCTTTTGTTTTTTTAAACTGGTATGTCAGGACACTTATTGGCAAGCTTTCTGCACAAATCGTCCATCTGCAATTCTCATTATGAACAACCACCAAACCTGGGTGTTTCAATTCCCTCCTCTGGAATCTTAGGAAAAGAAGAGGAATATGGCATTTGCCTTCCAGTATTCATGAGAAAGTTCGCTGAAAACATAAGACTTCGATAGGGTCCGCAGTCTTCCCCGATCTAGCATTTGTTCTGCTGCTCCCCAGTCTGTTTTTAAATTTAGCATTAACCATTTAAATGAGAACTCATTTTGTTTAACAAAATTCAATAATTTACAGTATTGAAGTATATCAAACACTAAAATTTCCCTCATTTACAGAACTGTATAATTTTCTGTGCATACATACTGCTGTTATGTACACACAAAAGGAACGGGTCATCAAAAGAACTTTTTGGCTGCTGCTTCTTGTTGACTCCTGAAAGAAAAAGCAGAAGGGAATTCATTAAGTACATATAGTATAAAACTAGCTAACTGAAATAAATAAATATTTCATTTATTTGAGGATTAAAAGACTCCATTCCTTGTAAGACACTTAGGGAAATTAAATATAGGTCATATCACAAAAATAGGATATAATTTCTTCTCTTTACAAAGACATGGGTAGTATCACTCTTGTTCCCATTTTGCATCAGACACAGAAGGAAACAAAACATTCTGGATAGCAGCCAGAAACTGTGAAAGAACATATGAACTGATTTTTAAAATACTGTAACTAAAATTCTCTAAAGCTTCTCAGTATCTGATTGGCCTAAAGATCATCATAGAAAAGGAAACACATGCAACTAAGCAGTGAAAGAATTTACTTGAAATGGGATTTCATTTTCCCCTCTGGCACAGAACATGTTTTTTTTCTTAGTGGATACAGATACTGTGGATCAACCACACACAGATGCTAGAATTACAAGGGCATCAAAAAGAACTGGAGGGGACCAGCTCCTCATTTGTCTTGGAAGCCATCTTTCCAGTTGATGGCATAACATGACATACATAAGGAATGCACTCTCTCCACTTTGTAGAAAATCAGACACACAGTAACAGTTAGTGCTATCAGCAGCACTGGTCTTACATTAATACTAGTTATCCTTCCGTAGAGGTAGCAAACAGCGTTTTCTCTTTGAAGGGCAATGCAGCTATTTTGGTCCCTAGTCCTTATCGTGATTAGTGTGTGTGAGAAGCAGGAGGGAAGACTACCAAGCAAGTCAGTCCTTACTCTCAATAGGTTTTCCTTTCCATCAACACAAATTTAAATTTGAACGTTATGACATTACAAGGAAGAGGAAGAGAACAGAGAAAACATCACAACTAGTTTGGGGGGAGAAGTCCATACACTATCAATATCGTGCATAGGAGAGGGATGAAGGGATATGTATCGTAAAAAAAGGTTCACAGAGGAATTTGTCAGATGGGGTAAGCAGCTTGTAGGTACACACAGGAAAAAAAAAAAATCACATCAGATTTTGTTAAGATATTACTAAACTTCAGTAAGTCCAGCAGAGGACCACAAGGATGGTGGTCAAGAGCTGAAGCACATGCCTCAAGAGAAGAGAGGGAGGGAACTGGGCTTGTTCATCCTGGAGAAAAGAAGGCTTCAAGGCGTCTAACAGCAGCTTTCTAATACCCACAAGATGTTACTGAGGAGACAGGGACAGTTTCTTTACAGAGATGCACATTATAACAAAGAGACACAACAAGGCAGGTTCCCACTTGATATACCGTGGGGGCAGGGGGAGAATAAAACAAACTGCATTATGATAATCAAACATTTCCAATGGGGTCCGTAACAGTGGTAAATTTTCCATTCTTGGAGGTTTTTAAGACCTCACCAGTCTAAACACTAAGCAACCTGGTCTGAATTCAGTGTCAACCCTGCTTTGAGCAGAAGGTTGAACGAGAGACCTCCCAAGGTCTCTTCCAATCTGAATGGTTACTTGTTTTAAAGAAGATTAACATAATCGTACCATTGCAATTGCATTTCCTGTCAGAAGGTCTAAAATCATTTGCCCTGTTGTCTTCAAAGAAAAATGTACGTACCTATACATGATATAACCAATGAGTAACACTGTTTGCACCGCTAAAAATATGAAGAAGTGCATTGTAGATAAGCACGATGGAAACGGTGGCAATTCTGGACACTTCAATTTCTCACCAGATGGCTAAAAAACAAGAAAAACAGTAGCAAACAATACATGCTATCAAAAGACTGTTACGTGTAAGAAACAAAACAAGGTCTTTGCAACATGATCTAAAAAAATGAGAACATAAGCAGAAAACAGACAAATTCCACTACTCTGAAAAATCATAATCTTACTCCCTGTCTCGCTTTCCCCTTTCACCTTTATGTTTCTCAGACAAACTGACGAATTTGAGGGTTACAGGGGAAAGAATAAATCTTTGGTAAATTAACTCAGAAATCAAGAACCTTCTATGGGATCGTAAGCTAATTCAGCTTAATTGCTACGTAGGGTAGACTAAGGTGCTCCTGAATGTGAACGCAGTCATCTTTCACACTTAAAGAGACCTTAAGCGGAGCCTGCCCAAGTTTCCCCTGATTAAATCTCTCCCTTCTGTGCAGAAGCAACAGAGAATATCCTCTGTATAGAACTGTTAAGTAGGGGGACAAACACAAAAAAAGCACCCAGAAAACCTAATTGCTTGACCTTGTTTCCACAGGAAATTAGACTAAAAATCATGCTCTTTGTGCAAAACTTCTCATCAAGACACAGATCATGCAGTTAGGTCAAGGCAGTGCAGTTTTAGCGAAGCAGCTTAATGAAGGATTAATTGCTCCGTAAATTGCATGCTGGCTCATCCTAGCTTTTCACTAACAGCCAAATAAAGAAGTATTACAGTCGTGCTTTACACTACCAGCACATAAATTACCATATTTCGTTGTACTAAATGCTCAATGTCCCTCTTTACTACATGAAGGTGTTCTTTGATGTCATTGAAGTGCTGAGTTGTTTCATAGACTCCTGCAGGAGAGCCAGGATGTTGAGCTCCACTGACCAACCTCAGAGTATCAGCCATGGAATTTCTGAAACAAGACAAACAACAAAACATCCTTCAGCACAGAACAGCTTTTCTAGAAACAACAGTTATTCTAGACACCTTTTAGTCCATTAAAATTAATTTGAAATACACAGTTGCCCCAAAAGGCAGAAAACATTTTTTCTAGCTTCCTAGAATACCTATCAAGAAGTAATGCCTTAAACTATGATTTTTTTTTTTTTAAATATTTAATTCCTCAGACAGTTTCAATTTGTACAATGCACCATCTCCCAAAGTCACGCTGAAAACAAGATCTGGCAAATATTCTATTGCTAGACATCTGCTTTGCCTGACTGATGAAGTCTAAAACAAGTGTTTTATCTGAGGCTCTTGCCAAGGCTTTAGGATAAGCAGAGTTTAATGCAATCTTTGAAGAAAACCAAAAGCTGTTTGAAAAATAAATAAATAAAAGCAGCCATGTAAGAAATAAAAATAAAGAAGAGGCTTTAGGGATAAGAAAAGATTTAGATACATCCTTGTTTCATGATTATCATTTATATGAGAAACTCATTTCCCATATGCATTGTCATCATACTTAATATTGTCTTCATATGAATTCATTTTGCTTCTACAACAAATCAAATTAAATCTGTGGAAAGTTGAGGTTCCATAACTAATTCCGTTTGAGGAAAACTAGTCAATGAGAGAAAAATACTTAATCTCTAATCAATATGTTTATATAATTTCCCCCTACTGTGATGTCTCTTTTCAGTTGCAAAGAGGATTATTCTACAGCTAAATTATTTATCATGTGGATGTTAATCTCTTCATTATTAACAGAATAAACAATCAAAATGTATGTCTTTGGATTTCTTTTTGATTTACTTAAAACTTTACATTTTGTTTAGATGAGAGCTTACTTCGATGCCTTCAAGGTAAAGTCCTAACTCTTTGTACAGTGGTCAGCAATTTATCATAGTATCATAGAATGGTTTGGTTTGGAAGGGACCTTTAAAGATTTTAATCTGGTCCAGCCCCCCTACCGTGGGTAGGGACAACTTTCAATAGATCAGATTGCCCAAAGCCCCATCCAACCTGGCCTTGAACATTTTCAATTGTAACTTTAACATAAGACAAAAAAACCACCCAAAACAAACAAACAAAAAACCTAACAAAACAAAACCAAAAAAACACACCAAACCTGGCTTGATTACTATTCATTGAGTAAACTGGAAACAACAATGTATGATCATATTTGTAAGTGTTGAACAAAATTACATTACTGATTTTTAAATGGCTCATACTCATTGTGAAAACGGCAAGTTAAGCATCAAAACTTAAATGTTTACAAATAATCTTCATAAAGATGTTGCCCATCTTTTGGCTTTGCATCAGTTGCTCCTCATGCCATTAAAATTCAAAAAACAGGGAACTAAAAATAAAATTAGAAAAAACATGAGAATAGAGAAAACTAGTAAGGTACATATGTACTTAAAGACACTGTGACAACTCTCCAGAAGCAAAAAATTGCAAACACAGATATGCTCTATTAGTGTTCCAGCAGCTTTCGCTCCATTGTAAGACCTATGCAGCATGTTTAAACTACTTGAAGCAGCTATATACTAAATCAAAGCCACACACTAAATTAATCTACACAACTATATCAAGTTGCAGATATACCACTTCAACAGAGAGGCATTTAGTAATTACAGCCCCTACTAAATGCTGGATTAACAATATACTTTTCTTCAAGCTGAAGACTACCAGTTTTTTCTTAAAAATAGCACTTTAAGAGACAAATCAACTAACATACTAGACTACCAGTATTCTGCATACTTCCCACAAAACAAAAAAAATTCTTTTCACTTTCAGTAACAATAAGATCCAAAAATTCACCCTTTCCTGTCATCTTTGTAAAAGCTCAATCCCACTTCCAGCACATGTTAGAAGATCAAATCACTTTCCACAGTTACATTTCCGGTTATTCCGGATAATGTACTGCACTCTAGGCCAGATGGAGTTAGCCATGGATTTCTGCAAAACTCTCGATGTTTACCTCAGTAAGTTCATTTTTAATATTGCAAAGTTATCAAAAGGAGTTGTTAAAAGCCAGCTGTTTGCTTCTGTAAGCCACCGCAAACAAAACTAATCAAAGAAGCTCTCACCTTCTCTCATTCTAAATTTCTGGTTTGGAGCTTATGCATACAAAATTAATGCAAAAAAATCCCTCATCTGTCCCAACTTAAATCAGCATATACATTATCCAGAAATTGTTTTATATTTTTGTATTGTGACTGTAGAGATTAAAGTAAATTGATTAATATTTACCTGTACTTTGAATTAGTGTTATAACAACCTATTTTAGAAACAAGTTTTTCACCGGAAGATTTTTTTCTTAAATAACCCATGCAACCACCATCATGACCACTGCCTAATAAATGCTTACAGTAATTCTGTCTATGCACATCCATCACATTGTTTACCTTGCCCCACTATTTTCAGTGCTAGAACACAAACGTGACACTCATTTTGTTCCTCTCCCTAATACCACCATCCCTATGTAATTAACAGAAATCTGCACACCCACCTTCCCTCAGACTGATCCAGTGTTTGTTAAAAGCAAAATAACTTCCCTAAATAGACATGTGTATCAAATTTAATTTACATTTACTTCTGCATGAACAATACCATGCTGGTAGTTTCTATTGTATGAACACACAAGATTCTTCTGTAATCAGATGACTAAGAAATCCACAAATCGTGACAAGAAAATTACTTAGACGTTAAGTCCTTTTCCTCCGGGATGACCAGCAATGCAACAGCGGGCTGTTCATTTCTATCTATAAATAAAGCATTTCTTTAATCTAAGAAAAATATTAAGATGATGTACATTAAGATGATGTTACGCAAACTCATACCTACTAAGTAGTCACTAAAAGGGCAGACTGCCAATGTTAACAAGAAAATCTAATTTGCTTGCAAGGTATAAAGATTTGTCAAGAATATTAACCTAAAAGCTTTTGTGGAAGAACAAGTGCAAAAATGGAAGCACTCTAATCTTCATTCTACAAAAAACTGACCTACTTAGATAAATCACAAGAGCTGCCCTTGAACTAATGCAGGGGAAAAAAACCCAACACAACTGCTTATATACTACAACATCAAATTGTAGGAATTGTTTTTCTTTTTTTTAAGCCCAAGGTAAGGAAAGTTTTAACTACTATACATGAA